TGAACAGCCTCCTTCTGCAGTAAAACATTCGATCACTTTACTTCTTTTCATGACTCATTCTAAATCTGAACGAACGATAAACCTGAGATATATTCTCGCTCTAACTAACTAACTGCGAACAAACTAACTAACTAACTAACTAACTAATTGACAAACAAACTAACTAACTGACAACCTAACTAACTAACTGCGAACAAACTAACTAACTAATTAACTAACTGACAAACAAACTAACTAACTGACAACGTAACTAACTAACTGCAAACTAACTAACTAACTGACAAACTAACTAACTAACTGACAAACTAACTAACTAACTAACTAACTGACAAACAAACTAACTAACTGACAACCTAACTAACTAACTGGAAACTAACTAACTAACTGACAAACAAACTAACTAACTGGAAACTAACTAACTAACTGTAAACTAACTAACATATTCTTCCTTTCGAATAAAACTTAAAATCATAAGAATTCCAGACGAAGATCTTGAACGAAGGCTCGATGGCTGGATTGCTATCGATATTAGGTTACCGTGCCAAGCCACGAACGCAATCGTGGATCGTTTGACCGTGCAATACCGCTAATGTAATCCACCTAACACGACGTAACCCTGATAATGGCCAGACGCTCGGTTTGCACAGAGCTGCCGAACACCGTCAATCAGAATTGCAAATTTCCGAGGAAACGGCTCTTTCGAATTATCTCGACTCGACGAGCCGCGCAGGGTAACTGTCTTGATACATTTCGGTATATGTTAAACATTACTCTCCTTCGACGTTGATAGAACGAACTCCGGCAAAACGGTTGCCTGTTCATAACCGCAGACATGATTTTCTACTTAGCAGTGGCAGAAGAGGCAGTCATCGACACCTCCGCGAGAGGATTCCATAACCCGTCTCTCGCTGCTACCGACATTCTTCCCATATGCCAGTCTTCGTGTCCCGTGGGACGAAAACGAGCCAACCCTCTTTGCGGATTTTTCCTACCGCGTTCTCCGAGCTAAATTGATAAATCGCTACGTGACCCGGTGAGCGTTCGATCGGTATATGCTTAAGGGAATTTCACAGGAAGCTGATGGATTTTACTGCGATTCCATCGCGAAAGACAAGACTGTATCACTGAAAATCTCTGCCATTTATCGGGGATTATAAAAACACTCGGATGTTCGAAGTGCATTTATAAAAATAATTTTAATTAATTCTGCATAGTTTATCCGTTGAATTGAGATGAAAAGATGTATCACTGAAAGTCTCTGCTATTTATCGGGGATTATAAAAACACTCGGATGTTCGAAGTGCATTTATAAAAATAATTTTAATTAATTCTGCATAGTTTATCCGTTGAATTGAGATGAAAAGATGTATCACTGAAAGTCTCTGCTATTTATCGGGGATTATAAAAACACTCGAATGTTCGAAGTGCATTTATAAAAATAATTTTAATTAATTCTGCATAGTTTATCCGTTGAATTGAGATGAAAAGATGTATTACTGAAAGTCTGTGCTATTTATCGGGGATTATAAAAACAGTAGAAACGTAAAACACTCGAATGTTCGAAGTGCATTTGTAAAAATAGTTCCAATTAATATTGCACAGTTTAGTGTTTCGAATGAATGAACGGAACGGTTGTTTCTAATATTTCTGAAGTGGATATTGCCAACATTTTACGCGTGTTCAAATAATGTTTACCTTTCGCTCCGAGTACAAAAGATACGGCGGAATTTGTAATATTGTAACACACGATGACGCGCTGATAACCGTTTCTCCCTATTTCATCCCTTTCCCGGGAGATAGCTCCTTCAGAGAGACTTTAATGTATTTCGTCCCCGGTGGATTCAATTTTGCATGCATATTTGTCCCAAAAGGTATCGTCACGAGGGTGAATACATTTCAGCCACGGTAAAATTGTAATTTTCGAGCTACGCGGCGGAAACGGTTGATTCCTGTCTTCTTTTCCCGTGCTTTATGCTACCAAATTTTCGAAAAAGCTTCAGGAGTAAAAAATAAATTTCGAATTCACATTGATTCTCCCCTTTTATTTCGCGTCGAATTAATCGGTTTGTCTTATGTATCGGTCCGCGAATCACTTTTTGCAACGAAATCCCGAGGGAATAATTCGATTAACGCGACGTTCTGCTTGATACTCCGCAAACTGTCATTATCAGTTTCTCTACTTGCTGTTGGTCTTTCGCTCGTAAGAGCCCCCGCCACGGAGTAAGAAGTTGCTTAATCTTCTTACTACGCTTACCCTCGATTGCCGCTGTGCAACGCCTTAACTCCGCCGTACTAACGTCTCACCCTATATATATATATATATATATATATATGTATATTCAGAAAACGTAGAGCTAATATTGAACGCCGTGTTATAAATTGAACTAAGTTGTTCGGCATCTCGAGCTGGGGTGTCGGGATTCGGAAGGAAGTTATGAAACAATTTTAATCATATTCTTTTCAACCTGCATTCCCTTTCTTCCGCAGAAAGCGTGCAATATTTTTTATTTACGGTTGGCGTTCGTAAATACGATCGTTTTAAATACTTAAATCAAACGGTGGAGAAACTCAAGTTTTAACGAATAACGCAAACACGTTCCAAAACGATTCTGGCGAGCAATAGTGGAGATATCCAAAGGAAAGCGTAATTAAAAAATTCTATTGTCCCTCTATCCACCTGAGAACGGTCTAACAACGTGTATTAAAAGTGCAACAACTTTAGACCCGTACAGTTCCAAAACTAATCATGCTTTATTCAAAATTAAATCACTGACAGAGACAGCAAAGCTTCCTCTTTGAAATTGGTTTTTGGTTTTTGGCGATCCGATATTCCGTTTTCGAGATATCGTAAGTTATGTAAAACGTAATTTCTCTTAATTCGGCTGTCTCACTGCCCGGCTAGCGTGTAATAGCCAATTCACGCGTATTAAAAATACTAAAACTTTAGACCCGTGCAGTTTCGAAACTACTGGTGTTTTATTTATAAACGAGCAATCGTTGGAAGCGGCAAACCTTCCTCTTTGAAATGCCCTTTGGTTTTTGGCAATCCGACTTTCCGTTTTCGAGATATCGTGAGTTATGTAAAAGGTAATTTTTTTAATTCGACTATCTCTGTCTCCATCTGACGCGTCGCGCCGGGCCTCTCTCTCGCGCGTGAGTCGAGACAGTCACGTGACCAGGAAGTCGTAGTAGTGTCTCTACTACGCACTGTTTACTATCTACGCGCGCGAGTTCATTGACCTCGCGTCAATGAACGTAAACAAACGCTTCGGAGCCTCGTATCTCCGGAACTAGCCACCGCGTCGACTTGAAATTAAAATCGTCATATCTCCGGAACTAATTACGCTATCGACTCGTACAAACGCTCATTTTAAAGGGCATTTCATCCCCTATCTGATGCACATATCAACTATTATTTTTTATGCTCTCTTCTATGTTTATTTTGAAATTTACTTTGACTGTATATTCCTAAAGAAGTTTCGGCAATTCCTCCATCAATTATAAGACCGTTGAGCGATAAATCTTCGTATTTGAAATTTGGCCACTTAAGGGGCAGTCTGGAGTTAAGCTGCTTAAAACTATCCTCGTATGAGAGAGCGTCCGATAAGACGACCGTTCGTCGAGAAATATCGCAGGTTGGCGATTCATATTCCCCGGTAAAAGACACTTCATTCACGACGTGCTTTACATTGCCCAGATTTCAGGGTCGTTTCTCTCTTTCTTTCACCCCTTTATTCTCGGACGCGTACGTATATTCCCGACTCCGGGATATTTCCTGATCCTCGAGGGCGCCTTATCGCGACGTTCCGTCTCCGTCCTCGTGTGCACCCCGAGAGCCTCCTACGTGCAGACGAATGCTCGCGTATGTTCGGGGGACGAAAAAGGGGGATAGGGCCGTGTCGCGAGCGCGATATCGAATTGCGTAGTCATACGCGAAGCCAGACGGATGACACACCGATCGCCCAAAGAAATTCAGATCGCGTATCCGGCCTGTCTACGAGATTTTCCCGCGAACGAGACACCGGGAACGTGTGTGCTCCGGCGTTACTCCAGCCTTCCAGAGGTATTCGTAGATCATGATCTAGGAAGGCGAACCAGAGGCGAAAATAAAAGTAAGGAGACCGTTGGTATCCCGATGGATTCGTGTTACAAGATCCGTTCGTGAAATACCCACGGTTATTTCCGGGTTGTGTATATATATATATATATTTCAGAGATACGGTCTTATCGTGGGGCAAACGTAGCGACAGTAATCGTTGGATAAGTTTCCGCCTGGGGCGGTTTGTTAGCGAAGTGACCGTATCAGAGGCTTGCTACGGAATCCTTGCACGGAGGATCCCGTCGGTGTGGATTAGGGATAAAATGGAACACGGATTAAATGAAACTTCGTGTTCCGGGTGGATAATTAGTGTCTGAAAACTGAAAATTGAGGTACGGGAGTCGGGTTGGCGGAACGTCGCGTAATTTAATTACGATGCGGGTCCACGCGTCAAGTTTTTCCGTCGTTTCCAACATTCGCGATGCAAACATTTGGATGATATTGCACGAACACTTTGGTCGATCCGTTCTTGGATCTTTATCCCGGTATATATATGGTGCTCGTCGATGCTAAGTTTCCCTGGCACGCGTGTCAGTTTCGTCAAACTTTTCCCAACTGTCTGCTTTCGTCGATAGTTCGCCAACACACACGCGCAGCTCTGCTTTCGTAAAACTACGTTCTCCTAAGACTAACAGAGGGGTACTATGGGAAGCCCTAAACTAAACTTATTCGCCGAGATAACAGACTCGCCAGTATTTTCCTCGTTGTTACGTTCTTGGACCAGCTGGCGCAAAATTTTACTCAAGTTTTTTAACTGGAGACGAATCTTTTACGTATTTCAATCTATCCTGATTTATACAATATTATGATCGATCGACGAAATACAAATTTTACGTCTTCTGTCTTTCATCTTCCATATCGGGAATACTTGTATTTTCTAACACTGTACTTTCATTTTTAGGACTCGAAGCTGAGCTGTACTACGTCAGAGAAGGGGTAGTCAATACGTACGCGATGAACTTTGTCGTTCCAGTGCCAGCGAGCATCGCGGACCTCGAATTTTCCTGGCAGAGTCTTGTTGGACACCCGGTAAGTTTGCAAACAATCTCATCGACCACTAATGTCAAATAGAAAATGTACGCTGCATCTTTTCAAGTCACAGTTTTTCAGGTGAAAAGCGAGTTTAAAAATATTTGCAACAGAGCCCCTGTTTAACATATCGCAAAACCCTTTCATTCTCGTCGAGGTTATCTAGTACTGTAAATTTTGTGAAAGTTTCAAGTCGATCGGATCAAAATCCTCAAAGTTATCGACGCCCCCAGTTTGAAGAATGTCATCCGTCTAAATACCAATAGTTCGTGATTTTCAACGCCTGTACGAGCAAGAATTCAGTGTCCAGACTAGGCGTGCATTGTTTTCCGTGCAATAAAGTATCGATTCCGCAAATAAAGGAGAATTTCGAAAAATTTTCATCGCGTCGCAACCCCTTAACAAGATCGGGGTGCGATGCAGTTGCGCGTAACCGTGCCCGTGGCCCGTCTATGCCGTGGAAAACGTTCGCGCCGGCCATTAGCAAGGTGCAACAATGCGGAACAAAGTAAACACGTGACTCGGCCGAAATAGCAACTCACAGCGTGCTCGTTTACGTTCCCGGAGAACCGGGTACGGGGCGGCGTCCGTCATGGGTGGCTCGCGGAGGGTGCATCGGGAGCGAGTTTGTCGAACGGAGGGGTCACAGAGAGGGCTGTATCAATACTCTATCAATATGAAATACAAACAGTCGGTATTTCGAAAGGGAGTAGGAGAAAGGGTGGCTGATACGCGCGTCGCGTTCCCTTCTGGTCGCCAAGGAAACCGAACCACCACCCACACCCCCTGTAGCCCTCCGAAACGATCGACGCGAGAGAAAACGCGAAAAGTCCTGGCCCCTCGTCCCTTCCTCCGCGGGCCAGAGGGACGCTAAACGCGAAGGAAATCGGGCCTACGTGCCTGTCGTTTCGCGCCTGGGTTACCGTCAATTCCGTATTAATTTCTGACGAGGGGGCTCGACTTTATCGCCGGACGTAATTGTTGGTTTAGCGTCTCGAACCACGGGCACCGACTGACGCTGCTTATTAATAGTAATTGAATACGATGTTCTTTGCACCGTACGTTGCGTGAAGGAAGTCGTTACGCGAACGTTAAGGGTCGTGGAGTGCACCGGGTGTTGGGCGAAACAATCTCTGCTGATACGAGGGGAGTCGAATACGTTTGGGGTGCCATTTTTTATTTTGTCTTCGCGGTTCTTCGTTTGTTTTTCGGGAATTGGTAAATGGTGGTCCTTCGTTGGGGTAGGTTTACTGATTCTCAATCGATTTCGAAATCATTATGTGTAGAAGATGTTCCATTTTTAAGCAAGTTAGAAATACCAAGGTTCAATTTAAGCAACTTGTACAATCTTTTTATTTTTACAATTGTATTTTATTTTATTTTATTTTATTTATTCATTTATTAACGGGTATGCAAGGAACTACAGATGTGGATTTACATAGTCACACATTATCGCTTAGTGAATGTAACAAAATAAATTAATTTACAATAGGTTGCAAGGATAATCCTTAGACTTTCTAATGATTGTTTTTGTGTGTACAAAATTGTATATTCATAGCATATACAAGAAATTTAACACTTTCGTAAAACTGGCTCAATCTTGAATGGAAGAATATGGGGTGGGTTGATGAAACTTTGAGCGAACGCAGCATGTTTACCGTGTCCCATCGAGTCCGGGTGTAACCGTTGCAGAAACTGACGCTCACAAAATCGAGAAGCTCCGGTGAACGTCTTCACCGACTCGCGCGTAATGACATCCCCACGGAGCGACAACAATGTCCGGGGCAGAACGTAGCCGGCAAATTTTGTCGAATCCTCGAATTTCAACGCGGAGAAATGTCGATGGCAGCGGCGTTACCTGTCGTTCTCTAGTAAAATTGCCCCGACGCTCGTCGAAAGGGGTTGCTTGCACGAGGCACCGTTTCGGTAACGTTTTATTGCCATCGCGGGAACGGGACAACGACCTTCCTTATCCCGCGGGAAGCGTTTTCCATCCCACCGTCTCGTTATCTCTCGGATTTCGCCCGTAGGTTCGTTAACCGCGAAATCTCTCCATTCTCGCGGTCACGGAAACGCCGTTTCTTCTTATCTTCGTCGCCCGAAGACAGTTTCCGCGGCCCCCTCCGTTCCCGAATCCAGACCAGAACGAGAATTAGCGACGCGGACCAATTTCTGTAATAGATGAACCTCGTTGGGAACTTCCCTCGAACTTATTTCTAATGAAAATAGCAGGATCTAAGCCTTATCTAGCCGACTTTATTATCTCGATCGAACAGGGGAACATACTATGAACGAGCCAGAGTCTTCTAAATTCGAACACCCTTTTTGTAGTTCGATGTTTCTTACGAACGGTAATTTTGATCAAATTCACTTGGGATAGAGAAACTTGTAAATAATACTTTTTTAAATTGCATTACTTTCGATATTTTCATAAGTCGAAAAATTTAATTTGAAAATATACTTCGAATAGAGAAAATTTTAAATGAAGATGCTTCAAATTGAATCACTTTCGACACTTGCACGGATCGAAATTTTATTTTCAATTTTGTCAAAATCCACTTCGAAGCTTACAAAATTGTTTTAAATTGTATCTCTTTCGACATTTTTTGTTCGTTGCACAATTGACGGGGGACTGACTAATAAAAAATTTTGAGTCCCAAAACGGGGCACCGTATCTTCTCGAAACGTTGAGAGAATGTCTGGCAGTAAAAATGTATTCGAAATAAGAAAGAGCGCGGGTCGAGAGAGTCCCGATGAAATTTCCATCCGAATTGTTCGACACGATGGGACGGAAAACGCGATGGAATCCAAAATGCGATCGCGGCGAATTGGCCGCCCGATGAACCGGAACTCATCCAATCAACGCTGGGAAAACGTTACACGGGAGTCAAGATTTTCCACCGATGGTCGAGCCCGCCTCCACGGGAAATCGACCGATCTCAATTACACCTAACTTCCCCGTTTTTCTCGATCTGAATCATCGCGTGCGCTCGGATCCATATTTATCCGGGATCGCGCGTCGCCTCTAAGATTGCGCGTAATCCGATCCCGATCGCCCCCCGTGACTCACGGCTTTGTTTCTTTTATCGAGGGGCTAAGGGGGGCGTAATAGGACGGGGGAGGACGAGACGAGCAAAAGTGGTATCTAAATTTCCAACGATAACGCCCTCGATTAAGTCTCGAATTCCCCGAAACGAGCGAATCTGGATCTGGAACGTTTCGTTTTTCTTCCTCGTTCCTCTCTTTGTTTTCGACGAGCAAAAAGGAAAGTTGTCGAACGAAGTTCCTCGTTGGCGCCGGAATTGGGGATGATTTGTGAATCATCCACTTGTTAGGCGAAAGTTCCTACTTTTCCACCCCCCGCTTGGCACTTGAAACGGCAAACGGGGGCGAGCCACTCGTGCCGCGGGGGCGTTTCGTTCTAGAATTGCGGGGGATTGCTCTCTTCCTCGTTCCTCCACTTGTCTATTACTCCGTCCATAGATATCAAACGCCTCTCGTTTCCTTTGGAACGCTCTCTTACTCGTCACCGGAACTCCCTTTGCAGCGTATATGGATTTTAAAAGCCAGTCGACTCTACTGCAAAAATTTACAAACGTTGCAATTTCCTGGCTCACCATTACGAGTTAATGTTTTGCTATACAGCGTGTATTCTACACATCGGAAACAATAAAAAAGGTTCATATAAACATACGAGTTTGTACGTTGGTATAATTATCTCGAAAGATATTAACGAGTGAACTATGCTTATCTCACTGTTTCACTTCGCAAGGCTTTCACGAAATTGGAACAATTCCTGGACAAATGGAAAGGATAAGACGGTCGATGATAAAACGTTTCCAGGCTTGCGTTCATATATGAACTTCCCTTATTGTTTTCACGCGTACTTGCGACACTCTGTATAATTTGAAAAGATTCCCAGAGATAATTGCAAAGACTCCGTCCGAGACGTCCATTGTAACGAGTTCTCTGAACCGAGGCAATGAAGGCTCCATTAAAGAGATTTCTCCCTCGATGTATCTAATCCTCGTAATTTTCAAGTAGGTCGGTATAATACGATATGAATTACTAGCGAAGCTAGGGGAATTTCTGCATTATGCAGAGGGCTCGGTTATGGAAATAACTGTAGGACACAAAATCCACAGTCCGTGTAACTAGAATGGGCTAAAAATATATGCAAATCGGTCGTCCTGGATTCACTGCGCTACTGAAATTACTATTTCCATTTTCACGGGCGAAAATCGTCGGAAAGAAAGTTTTCTTCGTCCTTTACATTAAACATATATAATCGTAGTCTGCAAATAATTTTATTGTTTCACAAAAGAGGGTTTTTTTTTCCTTTCTTTAACTATATCTTCAACATCCTTTTATTCAATTAATTTGTCATCCTCAGTAGTTAACGTTGCTATTATCAATTTCATTGCAATTTTCAAATGGAAACATTGTGATAGAATGTTGAAAAATATATTCTGAAGTGAAATTTATTTTTTTGTTTCGTTTAACTAGAATCCTCCATTTTTTTTCATTTAATTAATTTGTCATTGTCAGTAGTTAATCTTACTATTATCATTCATTGCAATCTTAAAGTGGAAACGTTGTGATGGAAGGTTAACAAATATATTCTGGAGTGAAATTGATTTTTTTTTGTTTTGTTTAACTAGAATCCTCAACTTCCTTGTATTTAATTAATTTGTCATCCTCAGTAGTTGACGTTACTATTATCAATTTCATTGCAATCTTAATGTGGAAACGTTGCAATGAAATGTTAACAAATGTATTCTGAAGTGAAATTTATTTTTTTTTGTTTTGTTTAACTAGAATCCTCAACTTTCTTTTATTTAATTAATTTTTGTCATCCTCAGTAGTTAACGTTGCTATTATCAATTTCATTGCAATCTTAAAGTGGAAATGTTGCAATGAAATGTTAACAAATGTATTCTGAAGTGAAATTTATTTTTTTTTGTTTTGTTTAACTAGAATCCTCAACTTCCTATTATTTA